GTGGTTGTCCGATTGAAAAGAAATGACAGATTGTTGGGACTACTATGAAGGCTAGAATTTTAACACCCTACTAGTTAATGTGGTTCTGAAGTCACTGCCCTATAGTTCCTGTCCTGACTGTATAAAGTATGTTTGAGGGGCTCTGGTGGCTCAGTTGGGTAAGCGTCTGACTTTAGCTCAGGTCATGATCTTGTGGTTCATGGGTTCGAGCCCTGTGTTGGGGCATGGAACCTGCTTGAGATTATCTCCCTCTCTCTCTCTATCTCTCTCTCTCTCTCAAAATAAACTAAAAAAAAATGTTGGAGTATATGTACACATTATGCATATGTATATATGTGTATATACGTATATACACACTCACAATTGACCGTTAAACAATGCAGGGATTAGTCAGTCATACAAACCCTCATGCAGTTAAAAATCTGTGTATGACTTTGACTCACCCCCAAATTTAACTACTAATAAACTACTATTGATAGAAGCCTTACTGAGACCAAACCATCAATTAACACGTTTTGTATATGTATTACATACTGTATTTTTACAGTAAAGTAAGCTAGAAAATATTAAAAAGTCATAAGAGAAAATACATTTATAGTAGTATACTATATTTATTGAAAAAAAATTCATATGTAAGTTGACCCGTGCAGTTCAAACCTGTGTTCAAGAGTTGACAGTGTGTGTGAATGTATGTGTGAATATATTTACACAAAGATAGGGTGAGGTTGACACTTGGGAAGATGAGAGATTGTGTTTGAATGGGCAGGACTCGATGACCATCCATTAGAACTTTTGTCTTTTCTATTTTCTACAGATGTGGTGGCCACTATATAGGGTGGGTGTTATTGTCATTGTCTCCTTATGAAGTTGCTTTTTGAACCTTGAGTCAGAATTAGGTGTTCCTGGTGATATAGGAAATGAGTGACTTTTGTTTTTCACGTAGCAGCTATTGAGACATCTAAATGAATCTGAGTTTTCTACAGAGGTAAGCAGGAGAGGGAGAGAGAGAATCCCAAGCAGACTTCGCACTCAGTGCAGAGTTGGACGCGGGGCTCAATCTAACAAACCGCCAGATTATGATTTGAGCTGAAATCAAGAGACTGAGCCACCCAGGGACCCCTGGTCTTTTTCTAGTAAGGAGAGTAATGCAGTGATAGCTGTCATGCCAGGTGTCAACTGAAATGTGAGTGGTCTGCCTAGACACCAACTCACTGAGTAGCAGGTAGAAAAGGAAGGAGTAAGACTGGGAATCTGAGGGACCTTATTATGGGAATCGTTATCCAGGGCGCATTTTTCTTTTCTCTTCCTGCCCTCTCTCTAGCTCCCTATTTGGCCATGCGTCTAACCTTCAGCTATTATGCAAGGATCTTACGCATTCTGCAATTATTCTTCAGTTGAAGGCCCTTCTCTACTTCTTCCATAAGCGTAGAGGAACCTGTGCCCCTGCTCAGTCCTGTCCTTTTCATGTTCCTTCTTTTGATTTAACTTCAAGGCCCCAGCAAGGAGCTCTACCAACTTTATTTTTTTGTATTTCTTATTAAGTACTTTGGAAGGAAAGGTGTTTATCTTAGTAGAACTCTGGAACTTGTACATAATTATCAGCTCATAGAGTTCACATATGACTTAAGACTGGATTCCTTTTTCAAGTGAAAGATTCCAAAGGAGGCTGTTACAATTTGAGTTCAGAAACTTGTATCAGTGTCAGGCATTTTTGTTCGTGTGTGATGGTTAATGAACTCTTTGAGGTCTAAGACTGGATTTTTGATTGCAGTATCCCCAAAGCCTGAGACACAGTAGGAGTTCAGAAAAACCTTCCAAGAATCTGAACAGATCTGTGTGCTTCCTAAGAGCCATGTTGGTAATATGGCATTTGTCACGTTTGTAAGAATTGTTTCTTGTCTGTTCCTCCCCTGATGGACCTTCAATTCCGTGAAAATAGTAGTGAGCACAGTAGGAATCATAGGTGCTCCATAAGTTTGTACTGAGTGTGAAGCTGGCTTTAAAGAGGTTTGGGCCGCAGGTATAGGCCCACTGTATTCATTGTATTTCATGGCCACATATGGTACCTCCATCTATTAAGGATAGAAAAGGAGTTGATTAGCTTTGAAGGCACTCAGTGAATTTTTGTTGCCAGTGATCAGTACACATGTGATTAAGTTATTCTTGGAAAAACAAGGCTGGTGTGTGTGTATATATACATACCTTCATTTTTGCCCGATTATCTGAAAGTAAGCTGTAGACATTGTGATGCTTCATGCTTAAATAATTTACCAGGCATCTCCTCAGAATAAGAATATATAGCCATATAACCACAACACCATTATTGCACCTAGGAAAAACAACATTAATTCAATAACATCATCTAATGTAGTCCACACTCAAGTGGCCCCAGTTGTCCCCCAAATCTTAATTATAGCTATTTTATTTAACTTGGGAATCAGTCAAGGTTTATGAATTACATTTGGTATTGGTTCTAGGCTATAGCTTTATTGGAGGCTTTTTTTATATGTGAGGGTGGGAGGTTTTCCATTCTTTCTCATTCATTTTGTACACCTTCTGGGGTTGGTTGGACTTTGGTTTGCTCCAATACGTTTCTTTTCCCCAGAACCAAGGTAAGGTAAAATTCTCTTCTGAATATTTGTGTATGTACAGTTACCTTCCTTTATCTATAAATCTTATATAGCTGCATACTTTTCTTGAGTGACTTTTTCCCAATTCCTTTCTCCCTTGGGAAGGTAGAGGGGACACAATGAATCTTGAAAATGTGTTGCTTTAAAGTTCTTCTGTTCCTTCACCCTTATTGTATGCCTAGCATTGGAGAGTGGGCGTGTTCTTGTCATAACCTTCCAAAGTCTGCTGAATGCAGTGGTCATTCAGCTCCGTTGCCTACCACTAACTTTATTACTATAGGTGGGCTGTTGGAATGTTTTGAAAGCTTGCAATAAATCTTGATATTACTTGTTGCCAGGTTTTTTTTTTTTTTTTAAATTTTTTTTTTCAACGTTTTTTATTTATTTTTGGGACAGAGAGAGACAGAGCATGAACGGGGGAGGGGCAGAGAGAGAGGGAGACACAGAACCGGAAACAGGCTCCAGGCTCTGAGCCATCAGCCCAGAGCCCGACGCGGGGCTCGAACTCACGGACCGCGAGATCGTGACCTGGCTGAAGTTGGACGCTTAACCGACTGCGCCACCCAGGCGCCCCGTCAGGTTTTTTTTTAAAAACACTGCAAGCATCTGACTAAGCTTGGTAGGTTACTTTGCGTTTTTAAATTCTGGTATATGTTTTTCTTTTCAAGGTTTATTTTCATTTTTTTTCTCTTTGCTGTCCATCTCCCCACCACCCGCCTACCTGCCCCGTCCTTAGTTCTGCTAACGTTGAGCACACTTTTTCCTAACCTACATCATTTCTTACCACTGTTTCTCAGACTTTAATATGATTCAGATTACTTGGGGATTTTGTTAAGTTTTGATTCTGATTCTGTTGCACTTAAGTGAGGCTTTCTCTTCTGGATTTCTAACAAACTCCTGTCGCCCTCTGGCCTTGAATATCAAGTAAATAAATAGTAATGCTGTGTTGAATCCATGGACTACACTGTGAAATCTTCCCCCCAAAGCACTTATTATATGGTAATTAAAAAATACGTTTTCCCTGCTTATTTATCTTTGCATTTCTGGTACATAGCAGTGTGTTCAGCAGGTAGTAGCTACTCTATAAATGTCTGAGTGAATATATATATTTGTGGCGATGGGCTCAGGATCCATGGTGAAGACTGTCAACACCAGCTTACCTAGGCGTGGAGAATGATTAAATTTATTCTTTAAAAAACAAATTGCTCTAAAAATACAGCTGATCCTTCCATTTGGCTGTACCTCAGTTCTACTGAGTTGGAACCAGACTTTTCTATAGTAGGCCCATCGCTCACAGGTCTTCGCTCACAGGTCTTCACAGGCAATTCTGATGTTCACTCTGGGCTGAGAACCATTGGCACATGTGAATTACAGATATAAAGGGGAGCCCCGTGGGCCTTTCTAGATTGAAAATCAGGGATCCAGCCTCGTATTTTCCTTATTGCGTATTTGTACTTTCTCCACATTTGCAAAGGTAAGTAGGGGTGTGTAGGGGGGTGCTTTTTTTAATGAATGAAGGAGAAATGCAACATGGTCCAGAAACCTGTCTCTGGATATAAGATAAATTGTCTTTCTGATGGAGTTAAACATAAATGTATTTTGTATTGAGAAATACATATTGAGAAACATAAAATGGTATAACTGTTATTCTGTTACTGGTTTTCTCATTTATGTTTCTTTTTTTCCTTTTTTAAAATATTTTATTTTATTTTTTTAAAGTAATCTCTACACCCAACCTGAGGTTTGAATTTACAACTCCAAGATCAAGAGTTGCACACTCTCCCGACTGAGTCAGTCAGGTGCCCCTCATTTTCCTTCCTCCCTTCCTTCCTCCCTCCCTTCCTTCCTTCCTTCCTTCCTTCCTTCCTTCCTTCTTTCCTTCCTTTTTTAAAGTTTATTTATTTTGAGAGAGACAGAGACAATGCAAGTGGGGGAGGAGCCAAGAGAGAGGCTGAGAGAGAGAATCCCAAGCAGGCTTTACACTGTCAGCACAGAGCCCATTGGGGGCTCGAACTCATGAAACTGTGAGATCATGACCTGAGCCGAAACCAAGAGTCAGATGCTTAACCAACTGAGTCACCCAGGCACCCCATGTTTCTTTTTTTATTTTTTAAGTAATCTTCACACATACCCAGTGTGGGACTCAAACTTAAAACCCCAAGACCAGGAGTCACGAGCTTTACCAACTAAGCCAGACAGGTGCCCCTCATTTATGTACCTTGAGCATTTTTTAGAACTGTGTGCCAGGTACTGTTCTAGAATACTGAGTACTGCTCTAGATGTTGATTTTAACATTTAGAATTATTGGGCACCTGTTAAATTCATAAATTCTTCTAATCTCTTTTACAGTTTTGATTTTGATTCTTCCAGGTTCTTCAGATAGATCCTGAAGTGACAGATGAAGAAATAAAAAAGAGGTTTCGACAGGTACAGTATTATTTCCCTGTAATAGATGGAGTCTGAACCTTTTGGAAATATAGTAGTAGCACATGATTCTCTTAGGATTTGCTGTTATGACTATTGGGCCAAAATTTAATTTTTTTTTTTAAGCTTAAGATTATGTAACTTTTTTTTTTTTTTTTTTACATTTTATTTATTTTTGAGAGAGACAGAGACAGAGCACAAGTGGGGGAGAGTCAGAGAGAGAGGGAGACACAGAATCGGAAGCAGGCTCCAGGCTCTGAGCTGTCAGCACAGAGCCTGACGTGGGGCTCGAACTCACAAACCGCTGGATCATGACCTGAGCTGAAGTTGGACGCTCAACCCATTGAGCCACCCAGACGCCCCAAGATTATGTAACTCTTTAAAAACAAACCTCATAGTGACATAAAATCTTAAATAATTTATTGACCATGGCTTACCTCTTATTCACACAGCCCACCTGCAGCAGTAGTTATTGGTAAGCTATGGAGCTGAATGACCACTGCATTCAGCAGGCTTTTGAAGGTTATTACAGGAGCATAATTTAGGCATACAGTTGGGAGTGAGGGAGAAGGAAGAATAGGATGAATTTGACCTCTGAATAGAATGAATTTTATATCCAAATAGAACCTTTCCAGGCCCTTAAGTAAGCGGGAGAAGTACAAGGTAGAATAGTGGAACTTACATGGAGTCATGCTTATTAAATTCCCTGCCTTCCTGGAGAAAACATGTTAAATGATTTGTAACAGTTTATTTATTTATTTATTTTTTTTTTTTTTTAAATTTTTTTTTTTTTTTCAACGTTTATTTATTTTTGCGACAGAGAGAGACAGAGCATGAACGGGGGAGGGGCAGAGAGAGAGGGAGACACAGAATCGCAAACAGGCTCCAGGCTCTGAGCCATCAGCCCAGAGCCCGACGCGGGGCTCGAACTCGCGGACGGCAAGACCGTGACCTGGCTGAAGTCGGACGCTTAACCGACTGCGCCACCCAGGCGCCCCCAGTTTTTTTATTTTTAAGACCCCCTTCCTCAATAATTTTATCTTGTGTAAACTTAAACACCCAAGAGATACCTGGTTTCATGTAAATAGTGCTTTATTGTCCAGTCTGTTGTTTAATAACCTTGAGCTACAAAGGTTTATAGTAGCCTTTTTAAAAAACCCTTCCAATTTTGATAGCTGAGTAACCCCCAGCCTTTCTTTCTAGGAGTTGAATAAACACACTCCCTGCCATCTGTCTTTGCAAATTGGATTTTCTGTATACCTAATGTCTTTTTTGTTGGTTTGTTTTTTAAAATTTCCCCAACTTTTATATATCTCTTTGTACTTCATATTGTAATAGGATCTGACCAGTGCAGAATATAATTGTCATCTCCTGCCTTCCATACTTGTTAATATCCAATATTATGCCTGCTTCCTCAATACAGTAACTGCCCCCACGTTGCTGACTCATAATCATGTTCTGATTTACTATTAAGCCAAGATGTTTTTTATTTTTGCCTACTAAGTCATTTCCCATTATATAACATTAAAACATTTTTTTTGTTTATGTTTATTTTTGAGAGAGAGATAGAGCATGAGTTGGGGAGGGGCAGAGAGAGAGGGAGACACAGAATCCGAAGTAGGCTTCAGGCTCTGAGCTGTCAGCAGAGAGCCTGACACAGGGCTTGAACTTGTGAACTGTGAGATCATGACCTGAGCCAAAGTCAGATGCTTAACCAACAGAGGCACCCAGGCGCTCCACCCTATCTTATAACTTTTTCTTCTTGAGTTCTACTCTGCACTTATATTCAGCTTTTATCCCCTTAAAATGTCAGGTTTCCTAATGTAATGCATTAGCAGTCTTTCCCAATTTAATAAGGAAGCATTCAAATCCACAGTCAAAACTTTTTTATGTAAGCTGTATGAAGAACTCAGTGAGAGTTCTTTATTAATATGATCTAATAGTTAAGAGTATGGGCCTTAGAGCTATATGACTTGAGTTTCAATCTCAGCTGTACCTCTTATGAGCAGTTTGAAGTTGGGCAAGTCCCTTTCAACCTTTCTGTGCCTGTTACCTCATTTATAAAATGCCCGTAATGTGTCTACCCAGCAAGATTGTTATGAGGATTTAAATGAGGTAATCAAACAATGCACTTAGAGAAGTATGTCTTTTCCTTGGCATGCAGTATGTCCTCTTTCTGTGCTATCAATGTGTGTTAGACACTATGCTGTTTCTTGCATTATTCCAATGAGCTAGAGGTACCTAGTATTGTATTTACAGAGGAGGACACTGGAACAGAGATAGGTTAAGTGAATTGCTCAAGGTCTCACAGCTGGTAGGTGATTAAAGTTGGAATTAGAGCCCAGGATTCTGACTCCAGTAATGCTGGATTTAGCATTTCATTCCCACTTGCTGTCATTATCCCCAAAAAGTCCCACTGTTCCAATTAGTTGGTTTTGGTCTGTCAATGACAGTAGGTCAGTGGTTCTTAACCCTGGCTGTCTGAAAGAATCACCTATGGAGATATTTGCTTTTCACTTTAACTTTTTTATTATATGTTTCTTTTTGAGAGACTAAAAGAGACAGAGCGTGAGCAGGGGAAGGGCAGAGGGAGAGGGAGACACAGAATCTGAAGCAGGCTCCGTGCTCTGAGCTGTCAGCACAGAGCCCAATGTGGGGCTCAAATCGTGAGATGACCTGAGCTTAACTGACTGAGCCACCCAGGTGTGCCCCTGTTATAAAAATTTTTAATTATATCTTAAAAAGAAAGAATAGAGCAGTGAGTACTCATATACTCACCATCTGTAGGCAACAGTTTGCTTCATTAACTATGTTTTTGGCCGAGTTGTGAAGTAAATTATAGATATCATGGTACTTTACCCCCAATATTTCATCATGTATCCCCCCAAGAAAAAAAAAAGGACATTTTCTTGCATAACTACTTGTCAGACCTAACAAAATTGACACTAATTCCTTACTGTCACCTGTTACCGAGTAGAGGTTAATCCAGTAGAGGCTTAAAAAAGTACAGATTCCAGGGGTGCCTGGGTGTCTCAGTCGGTTAAATGTCTGAATCTTGATGTGGGCTCAGGTCATAATCTTATGGTTTGTGGGATTGAGCCCCATGTTGGGCTCTGCACTGACAGTGAGGAGCCTACTTGGGATTCTCTCTCTCCCTTTCTTTCTGCCCCTCCCTTGCTCCTGTGCACACGTGTGCTCTCTATCTCTCTCAAAAAAAAGTACAGATGTGAGAGACTGATTCAGAGGGTCTGAGAGTAGCAAGTAGACCTATATTTTAAAAAGCTTTACAGGGTTGGAGCATAGCCAGAACTAAGAACTACTACTTAATGTTTTTTTTTTTTTTTTTAAGTTTTGATTTTAGTTCTAGTTAACATACAATGTAATATTAGTTTCAGGCATACAATATAGTGATTCAGCAATTCCGTACATCAGCCGGTGCTCATCACAACAAGTACACTCCTCAGTCCCCATCACCTATTTAACCTATCCCCCGCCCCCCTCCTTAGAGAACCACAACTTTAAAAGTTCTTTTAGGAAAGAGATGATGTCTCATACGTGCTTTAGCCTTCTTAGTGCTTATCAGTATAAGGAACATAATAGGAACGGGGTGCTTTTCAGTCTGTCTTCTTCATCCTCACAGCATCCTTGTAATGCTTGGCTTATATTTCTTCTCGACTTTGTGATTAAAATCCTAAATGTTTCCCAGCATTTTACCTTTTGGTGCTTGAATTCTAAGGACCAGTATTTCTGCACATTTTATGATACTTACTAATTTGTAAAAAATGTTTCTGGCTGACAGTCTTTTTTGCTATAATACCTTAGAGCTTTTGGTTGGAAGGAAGCATGATGTAGGTGAAGAGTTACTAAATGTTCCTCGTATTGACAAACCTAACTTTCCCCTTGTTGTAGTTATCCATATTGGTGCATCCTGACAAAAACCAAGATGATGCTGACAGAGCACAAAAGGCTTTTGAAGGTATTTGTAAATTTACCTGCTCCTGACTAAAACTTTTATCAGTGCTAGAGACTAACTGTTCCTTGTCCTGGATCAAGGAAGGAATGTTACAGTTTTGTCTTCTGGTGATGAAGAAGCTGTGGTTTTCAGTAGAACAGTTGTCATTGCAAAGCAGAATGTTGCTGTTTAAGAAATAGATCTTAACTTTGCCTTGTTAAAACTTTTATGTGCCAACAAAGACTGTTACTGCATAGGATCATTTTTCTTCTTTGAACAACAACAAAAATAATTGGAAGTATTTTGTCACTGAATTAAATCTAGTTGTGGTGTATATAGTCTTGAGGGTATATTTAATTTTTTCCAAGGCTCTCAAGGAAAGTCATTGCTGTAGTTGTATGTTTTAAAATTAGCTTAACAACAATAAATAATTTAACGAAATAGGGAATGCTTTTAGATGGCACAAGTCCATTTACGCTGCCTGAGTATAGTTCAGACTTTCAGAGGGTGTTTGCAGAAACAGTTAATTTCAATGTTTTGCATTAGCTGTGGACAAAGCTTACAAGTTGCTACTGGATCAGGAGCAAAAGAAGAGGGCCCTGGATGTAATTCAGGCAGGAAAAGAATACGTGGAACACACTGTAAGTATTTATAGTGCTGCTGTGTTTACAGGAAGTATTAGCAAGCCTTGGGCACCTTGCAGGAGGGTAGATGTTAACCTGGCAATACCTACTGGTGCAATTTGTGACCATTTATGTGGTCTCTGTAACTTCGCTGTGGTGCTCATGAATAGTGTTGTGCCTTAGAGCTCAGGGTGTGGAGTGGCTAGGAGGCTGCTCCCACCTCTTTCCCTTACCAGCTGCATGCTGTGGAGAGAGGGCTTTTCTTTCCCTCTCGTCACGTGTTGTCACGTTACCCACTTCTGAGAGTGGAAGAGTGGAGCAGCCATGGTGATCCTTGACCCTGGATTTTTATTCTTGTCTCAGTGAAGGGGTTGGAACATGGGCTTGAGGAAAGACTGGCAAGGGGATATGAGTAATTTTTTTTTTTTAATAGGAGGAGGTGTATATCTGTATTAATAACAGGGTTGGGAAGGATCAACTAAAATAAATTGAGTTATAGCTGGCTTTATTTTTTTGCATTACCTAAATCTCCTGAGTGGTGGGAAGGGTTAAGATGGCTTACTTGAGGTAAGAAAGGTTTTTGTTTTTATTTTTTACTTGCTGGGGCAAGAATTGTGAGGCCATTTGTAAGAGCTGTTTCAATTGGGAGTGAATATGGGTGTGACCTTTTCTTTGAAGAGCTTTGGAATCTGAAATAGAACTGTATAACCAGTAATAGTAATAATGAGTCCAATTTAGATGAAGAAAATGGGTAAAAAAGAGACAGATGGCCATAAGTCTATCTTGCTGGTCATGTGTTGGAAGTGGTACCTGTAGGCAAAATTTTGGTAGAAATCAGGAAAGGACCTGACAAGTTCTCCTTAAATCATTGTGGTATATTTACTTTTCCTCTTATTTTGGCCTATAAAGGAGCCATCCTCAGGCTTTCTGGCCACAAGGTGGCAGTAGGGCCATTCTGAGCTTGGAAGACACTGGCTTTTTGCTGGAGCAGTAGTAAATGGTTATTTAATAGAGAAATGACATTCTTATGTGAATGGGTATGTTTATTTTTTTTTTAGCTCTAAATGGTGGCCAGAGTGATAAAACAAACACAAACAAACAAACAGTTAATGTGGTCTGAAAATTACTGGTTTAAGGGGGTTTCACAGTGAGAATTATCAATAATGCAGTTTTTGAAATACCTGGAAACAGTTACACTTAATGCCACAAATTCTGTAGCTTCTTATAAAACTTGACAAATGTAGTTTCTTTGCTATAAACACATAACTACAAACCACAAAAGATTAATGGGTAATCTGTTCAATGTATCAAAGGTTCTGTGGATCTGGCCTAGGATCGGATGAGTTGGGGACAACTTCCTTGCTGGTCCTCTTGCATCCTTCCTGGTGGATTGGATTTTAGATGAGGTTAGAGGAAGGACCCCTGATTCCTAGTTCTCCTTTAACTGCATTGCTGTTTTGGAGGGGAGGGGAAGAGGCTCATTTTTTTTTTTTTTTT